TAACGATACGACAGAAAGAGCAGTCAGGTTAATGCAAGCCTTCCATGGCTTAATCACTGTTGATGAGGAACAAACATAATTTCTATTACGTTGCGCACAAGAACACAGGCAGGTATATCCTGACAGTAAAAAGAAAATTTTGAAAAGAAAATTTAATAAATAATGTAGATAGATATCTAAGACATATAAGATAAATTTAAACCAGTGTCTTATTTTCGAATAAGAAGAATTAGGTTTTGAAATCCATACATGGTTTCCCTATTAACTTTCAAATTCAAAGTTTGGCTGAAAGTTGGCACGAGCTATCGTTCCCCGATCATAATAATATTTATTTTTTGAGTTCTTAGAGTCAAATGGAAAAAATAGGGGGTATGCGAATCTCAATTCGAACAAAAATTTGTTTGTCCTCATAGGCTGGGATACCCTACCCTACAGCCCCTGACCACCAGTTTTAAATTTCTATAAAATTTACCGAAGATGTTCCGGAGCGTCTCAATCAAAAAACGATATTTATGTGATTTACTATATTTTTTTTTCATTTGCTGAGACTTCAAAGATCTTTTCTGGCTAATAATAATAACCTTATGTAAAAAGATCCAGTCCGAGCGGTACTTTCCAAGTTATAAACTGGCCCAGGATTAGCCGACCGAGCGACGGAAATGGGTGACAGTTCTTCATCATGTACATATCATATGACATCCAAAGAACGTTTTTTCACGCTTACAATGTTTTCTTGCCAGTGGCAGAAAAAGCAAAAAGAAAAGTTAACATTTCTCTTAAAGTTAGTCTAGTATAAAAAGGGATTTCATATTCAAATATCCTATGAAGTGGTACAATTCTTTAACTACATATCTTCATAAAGATTATACCAATCAGTAGGTTAGGTTAGGTTAGGTTAGGTTTCTTGTGAGTGCATCAATAACGATCCTCCACTACGACTCTTGCGCCTATTGTGGCTCAAACCTATTTATATTTGTCTCACTAGCTCCGACCTCCTGAGCAAGTCGATCAACTTGACTAGTGTACAGTCCTACTAGAGCTTTGAGTCTATTCCTGTTCAGTCGCAGCAAAGAGTATGTTACCTTCTTTGTCAACATTGGTATAGTTACCGTAGCATGGGTTAACCCTGCTAATCCCTCCCAGTATTGATGGACCTTTCTGCCCATCTCTGCAGAAATTATTTGTTTAGCCGTATTGTATGCGATCCCAATTGCTGGCTCAGGCCCTATGAAGGGGTGTGCTAGCCCCAGTGTCAGCTGTCTCGTTTCCTTCTAGATCTGTGTGTCCTGGTATCCATATGAGACGGACTTCATTTCCCTTTCCTATGCCACCGAGAGCTTCTTTGCAATTCCACACTAATTTCGATGTCGAGTAGGTGGAGTCAAGTGCTTTAAGTGCGGCTTGACTATATAAGAAATAATTATAGTTCTGTGCCTCATTTCTCATTTTGTGATCATTCTGGTGCTCAGTTCTACAGCATATAGCTCTGTCTGGAAGATCGGTGCCCAGGTTCCTAGGCTAACAGATTTTTCAATCTTCAGCTTCGGCACGAAGATACCAGCTCCAACACCTACCACGGTCTTGGAGCCATACCAATCAGTAACCTTGATTGGTCAGTATAGATGTGTCTCAGGTGCGAGGACGTGATAGTAACTAGTATAGTATGGTCACATGGTTCGAGCAGCTGTACTGCTGTTATTGAGAAGATCGGCTAGAATACCCAATTCTAGCTCACACGATGTAACCAGGCCTCAACACGTCGCATATACTACTGCGGAATCAGGGCACCACAGTATGTTGGGCTATTGGGCTTTATCCCGCCTCCCCTGCTTATACGTATATTCTTGTAATAAAACAATGCATTTTATTCACCGGTTCGGCCCCAGCTGCTCGTTATTATGCTTCCAGCTTAATTGAAACCGCGAACAACTCGCAGATTACCACGCTAGGAGGGACAATACAGGGTAGATAGACCAAATCAAATATGACGATGCATTAACGCTAATTTATAATTCCCGACTAACTTTTGATGAAGGTATATATTGTAGAAATAATATATCCAGGTATCTACCATTGTGCTGTTTTACACAAATAGTCCATGTGTCTGGTACTTTTGTGCAGTGTTTTAATTCTTGGTAGTGCTGTAACATAGGATAATTGTCTAAACATATTACCAAATTTCCCCGAAATAATTGTAAAGTCGAGTTTTATTGACGCAAGTTGCTCTGGGGGTATTTAAAGCAGGGACGCATAAAGTGGGTACACCAATTTTTATGGGAAAACTTTTTATTCGTTAACAAAGAATGAGAAAACGTGTGCTTTGGGATTCAATTGAAAGTGTTAGCATGCACAAGAAAACTTAAAATAAGATTAGATAGATTAGTTATTTATGAAACTTACAAAATGAGACCACACGTAAAAAGATGACTAATAGTAAAAAAGTTGTGGCCGAAAACCGAGAAAAAATGCAGGTTTTGGCACTTGTTGCTAATGCGACGATAATTTCACGCAGCTACTTGAAATTCATCAAACCAGTAGGCTTTATACTTCTAAATAGCTACAACAAAATTGCAGTCGATTGATCAAGTAGTTTTTGAGAATTTCTAATTGCTTATCCCAAAGCGCCAGCCTTCCGGCCATCACTACTAGTTTACTGGGCAATATAGAGGATTTGTTCAAAGGGCATTTTATAGCGAAATACACGAATTTACCTTGCCAACGTGAATGATAAACCATTCCGTAAGATAATTGCTATTGTTATGCGAAAAACGAAAGGTTGCGTTTTTTTCTTCTAAACAAATTCAAACATTTCGTATATGTGAGTAACCAAACAGATTCGCTACGATATTCGAAAAACGTACGTTATTATACACATTTCAAAACAAAACGGATGTATGACCTTTTGTAACGAAGAAAACAAATTTTTTGTCAAGATTTCTTCTTACTCTTTTGTATACATATTTAGCGCTGAAATTTTTACTTGGTCACAGATGAACCTTCAAGTTCATGAAAAAAAATATTCCATACTGAAAAGCGGTGAACTGAGAGCACTCAAACTGAAGACACAATTATATTTCAAGCTGTCTTAGACTAGTTAGTATGTAGGTATGTAGCATGTGCTAAATGGCTGCATTATTGATGACTGCATGACTTTGTCAAATAAATAGGTCACGTAATCCAGTTTCTTTACGAGGATATATTAAAATGACTGAGAACTCAAAATGATGGAAAATGAACTCGAGAAAACGCAAAAACACTAGACAAATATTAACCAGTTGTAGCGAACTGACCATCTTAACAAATGTTCAATATGGACGTTATTGATCCCTAATGCATTATTTAAAGATTCAGCATTGTGTCTTGTATGGTTTTCAAGAGTACTGTAGTTGCTTCCGGAATGGTTTATAATTCACGTCGGCAAGGTAAATTCGTGTATTTTGCTATTATATATTTTGCCCTTTGAACAAACCCTGTACAGTGCTCAGTAAAATAGTAGTGATGGCCGGAAAACAGGTGTTTTGAGATAAACAATTAGAAATTCTCAAAAACTACTTGACCAGTCGACTCCAATTTTGTTATGGTTATTTAGAAGTATGAATCCTACGGATTTGAGGAATTTCAAATATCTGGGCGAAACCATCGTCGCATTACCAATAAGTGCCAAAACATGCATTTTGCGTCGGTTTTCGGCGATTACGTTCTTACTATAGTCGGATCTTTTTACGTGTGGTCTCATTTTGTAAGTCTGATAAATACCTAAAAATCTTATTTGCAGAGTTTTTTCATTCCTGCCAACACTGAATCCCAAAAAACGGGTCTTCTTAATCCTTGTTGTCGAATAAAAAGTTTTCCCACAAAAATTGGAGTATCCATTTTATGCGTCCATGTTTTAAATACCCCCTGGAACAACTTGTATCATTAAAACCAAGCTTTACAATTATTTCGCAAACCAGGGGTATCTGTGATTAGACTATAAGTTCCAGTTGTGAGCTTCGACAAATCCTTATGGCATGTTAACCTGAAACCCTTTTTTTTTGCTGCTGGAAAGCGACAAATGTGAAAAGGTTTTGAATTTGGCAATGAAACGCAGGCTTGCGTCTACGAACCCACGTAATAGTTCGGAAGCAGTTCATATAAGCACGTTATGTTTAACAAAAAAGCATGTACGCCCCTGAAAACCATATTGAATCTGCTTGAATGATGACCAATTGAGTTTTTCGCTAAGTGCATGAAAAAGTGCCAGCTCGATTACTATTCCCCAACAACAGTAAAAACGTTGACTTACTTGTCAAGAAAATAGTTTCTATTCCAGAAACGCGCATCTAGCCAAAAGTCCTAGAGACAGATTTTAAAGTGTATCAGTATGGCCTTGAGATACTCATACTAATATCTCCAGAAGCTGGTGGCGTATTGTTTGTTCACTAACCCAGGCACCTGTCTGTACGAACGCCAATGAGGTATATAAGTGTTCTAGAAGGCAACTTTGATTATTGTGACCTTTGATCAAAACTGTATACGAAGCATTTTCCTGGTTTCTGATTATTTAAACTTTTTCCCATATTTTAAGATGAATTACGTTTGAACTAAGTTAGCATCCTTTATAATTCAAAAGTGAACTTCTATTTATGTTCATGTACCTTCTGGGCTTTGAGCCACCCTCTATGTAAGACTGGTTCAATCCAAGTTCAATCGTCCCGTAGCAGGCACCTGCTACTCCAATAACTTCAACAAGTTTTACGTGACAACGAAGCTTCGATCCTCAAAATAAGACAACGGTGACATTCCCGCACTGAAAAAGGTTCTGTTAGAGAACTTCCCCTTCTGTTACTCAGTGGAAAAGAGTTTTCGATGAAATTCTCTATAAAATTTATTACGTTCTTTCTACTTTTTTACTTTACAGGTCGTAAGTATAAGTGTAATTGTGTCAGTTCTTTTTTTTTAAATATGTCTAAAGAAGTTTAGTGTTCGAAATTTTACGTTAATTGATTCACTACTTCCAGTACTTAGAAACTAATTGTACGATGGATAAGATAGAACCATCGGTGAAACAAATGAGTAAGAACAATAACCAAGGACCCAAATCCTTGGATCTAATGCTAAAAGATAGTTGAATGGCACGAACATTGAAGAGTAAAATAATATCGATATTTTTCAATATCTGTGATATCTGCTATCGTGACACGTGATCACGAGGTTCCGTAGCAGAATACCTGCGAAGAAATAGCTTGGAGGCCATAATAGCCTAGTGGTATACGATTTTCGATCGTAGCAGCTACCGCGCATGCGCATCTCATGCACATTCAATAATTAGAAACATCAGTTACTTAATGATAATTCGTGAAATATCTGCTACCACTATTGAGGACAAGTGACGCGAAGATAACCACGGTGACATCTGTTATTTGCAGATGTCAAACGTGACACAACCCGACGCACCCTTTCAGTGGAATAGTTTCTCTTATTTTCTGTGCACTTCCCTTCGCCTCAATGGGCGTGTACCTTCAAGTGAGATGGCAACAAAACAGAGGGGAAATCAAGCTACTCGTATATCATTTTTTGAAATGCAAATAGCTAGAAAGCGAAAAATACTCATTTTCTGTCACGAGTGTGCTTCAAGACCAATTTGTGTTACTTATGGTTTAACAATTACAATGAATGTACAGGGCGATATTGTGGGCTGCGATGTCACATGTTTGCAATATTTATTCAAACGTCAATAGATTTTCAGAAATTGTTGCGGCCAGCAAGAATCTAACAGTGCTTATCCTAGGCCATGATATCTACTTATGAAATAAGGGTTGATGGTTACGGGTTGACTAATGTTGATAAATACACTGTGCCAGCAACTGGATAAAGAAAATGTCATATCTTCTGAGAAAACGCGAATATAAATAATAAAGTTTCATTTTCTGTCTTGTAGTGTACTTTCAAGCCAATATATGATGCCTTTATTGCAGTAAGTATACATGACGATAATTTGAGCAGTAGCTACACAAATGTTTAAAATTTTATGCCCGACTGTCTCAGAAGGAGGGTTATGCTTTTCGTGCGTATGTATGTGGTATATGGACAAGAAATTCTATTTCACGGGCTACTGGCCGTCTTGGATGGATTTTGGCATATGAGATCTTGTAAGGATTTCTCTCAGCATTGCGTGTGACACTGGGTCTATTAAGCTTTTATAAGCTAAAATTTTGGAAAAAACAGAATGACGGATTTTAATAGAATTCGACCTTGAAACTCCTACTTCATGGATTGCAGCTTAATCGGCTTGAAGGATTTTGACACACGAGGTGTCTCTAAATTTGTCTTGACAGTGCAAGTAACAGCATACTGAAATTTTATAAAATCCAAATAATTCTGAACGCAAGCGTCAACATTAAAATTTCTGTTTCATGAGCTTCAAACGACTCGATGGATTTTGACATTTAAGGTGTCTCGATAGCACAATTAAACCTTCATTACTTCCAATTACTGCAGTTGGGTTGCTAGTATTTTTTTTAATGTACTTGTTTTTCAAACATCTCGACATGAAATAATCCGAATAATCTGTTATGGCTATTGTTTATGAACTAACTATGATTTTTTGGATCCTCAACATTGAGAAGTATTCAGCTCCAGCAGCGAGATGTAGACACTGAAGGTTCTTAACACTTTTAGGGGAATTCTTCAAAACGGTATTGGCAGCAGTAAAGAAATAGTTGTCGGCTGTGGTGTTTGAATGAATGAATCTTGAAATTAGAGGCATTCTGGCCACCATAAGGAGCCAGTGCATAGGCCGCTTAAGCGGGCCCTTATGAACCTCTACAATCCTTAGATCACAAGCCTCGCCCTTTTAGCAAAGTTGAGAATCGCATTGAGGGTCCAAAGTAATGGATCCCAGTATAGTCTGCCTATAGTAGCTCCGAGCTTCACAGCGACACAAAACGTGCGCCGAGGTCTCTTCCTCTACCCCGCAGCGTTCACACAAGGGATCCTCAGCCACCCCATCACGTGCAGGTGACGCCTTAACATGTTATGGTCCGACAACAGTCCCACCAGCAACCTTAGGTTGGCTCTATCCAGAGATAGGCAGACGGCTGTGGTGTTTTCTAACAGATTAACACCATAAAATTAGAATTGATCATTGTAGAAAGGTATAACAGTTCAGCACCACGATGGAGACACTAAAGATCGCTAACATTTCTACTGTTTTTTAAATATAAGCGCATTCTGCGGAACTATTTCTACTTCACTTCCGATGATTGTTGACCATGATAATGATGTCCAAGCACCAGCACTATAAGATAAGTCAAGTCTGCATCTAGATGCCGGCCTTGTGTAACTTAACATTAATCAACTCCAACGTCATGGTCCTAATCTATAAGTAGATATCTTATCTAATGAAGACCCTCTAGATTTCTCTCTGATCGAAATAGCTTCTCAGAATGTATTTATATTTGTAAGAATGTTAAACAATTGAAAGAACTTTAATGTCTCCATCTCACTACTTTTCCTATATACCTTTCAATACGTGAAAGCGACATAGAAATTATTGCAAGCATTCGCAATTCAATAATTTCTATTTTAAAAGTGATTCGCCCCCTCAACGTAAAACTGTAAAAATAATGTAATTTCACCTCAGTTTGCCATTTGCCCATCTGATGTAAAATCGTGAGGTCGATCAACAAGACAAAATTGGGGTTGCTCTTTTATGGGGGCCGTGAAATACGCTCTTGCCCTTGTGGTGTACGTGTGAAGTAAGCCGAACAAAGTTCATTCAACTTTCACAAAATTTTTGCAGATCGCCTTACGAATTGCACTATTTTTATAGCAAAAACTTTTTTCTGGATACTAACCAACGCATTTGAGGAAAAAATACTTTGGAGCCCTATTTTGTACCATAAAAACTGAATTCTGGAATATTGGAGCGCACATGAGGGCCGCGGATTCCAGTTTTCTTCTAGCGAAAGTAAAATATAAGGTTTTTAAGCTTTCAATGCAAAGACTGAGTAATCTAAATGTAGCGTTTGATATATTGACTATGTACTCAGTAGACGTCAGTTTGCAGTGAAAGATCACTCCAAGATTCTTATAAGAGAAACATCTCACTACAACCTAACCAATTTTATAATCACTATACAGGGTGTCCCGAAAAAAGTGTGCAATATTCTACCAGCGGTTTCTAGAGCTTAAGATAGGAAGAAAATTTTATATAAACATAGGTCGACAAACATCCCCTAAGGGCGCTACGGTCTTTTAAAGGGGTTTCCCTGAAGATAGTTTTTCCTTAATATTTCCAAAACGTGTTGAGATAAAGACATAAAATTTGGTATTCTAGCCTAGTTTTTTATGCTGCATTTAAAAATATTAACAATTTTAGACAGTTTTGTTTGGAAGCGTACGTAACAGGGACGGATATCGATACGTATTTGTGCAAAATTTACCAGGGTGTTTTTCTGAGGTCTATATTTAATTAAGAAAAATATTTTTGAAGTTTTTCTATAATTTTAGTGGTTAATTGATACTTACTTTACTTTACGTGTTCAGAAGCCTCGCAGTCTTGATCAAAAATGTAACGTACACAGATACGTCAGTTTGGCGGCAAATTGTAGCACTTAAAGTATTTTGGAAGTAATTAAAAACTATCGTTTATTATTAAAAAAACACACAAAATAACGTTACAAAAGAAAATATGAAATTCTGACTAGTAAAAAATATATATATTTTTTTTTGTTTTGGAGCTTTCATCCTCATTGACATCATCTGCATCAGTTTCTGCTAACTCATCTGGAAGAGAATACTTACATTTTAATTTAAAGAATTCATCGTGAAACCTGGCAGGTATGACATTGTTTTTGCAAAGTTTTTCCAAATCCCTTTTCTTCATTTCGGATATTGGAATCAGTTGTTTGTAAATTTTTTCAAGTTCAGAAACTGCATTTTCTTGCCGCTTTCGACCTTAAACAAAGAAATACTTCAGGATAACTTGCAAATATGTATTCATTTTTTATATTTGTAGTTCATTAACAGTTTTTTGTATTTAATAAAGTCTTAATAACACAGGAATTCCCTATACAGGGTGTCACTAAATTAGTATTCAAACTTCAACCACAAACAGAACAAGAAATTTGCGATAAACATGGGTCCGGAAATGTTTCATTTCCGAGATACATTGTGTTGAAAATACTTTAAAAGATCAGTTTTTTCTTATAATTCAGTAAAAATGTTTTCGAAAATTTTTAAACTTTGTCGTTTCTCTTATTTCGATTGATCTATTTCGATTACGTCTTCATTTACTAAAGTAGTTTTTAAAATATTTTCGGAATTATCTAGATCAAAAATATTGTCACTTGAAATAATGGATATCGGCATAGACCCGATTTCTTCCTCAGAATAAACATTATTCGATTAATCATCTTGGCTAAGAGCCGCCAAGATCCTTTTTGTTCGTGAACTGACCATAGACATAATCTGAAAGTAACCGAGCATTTATGTTTACAATGTTTCATAGCTTCTATAAAAACTAGAATAGAAACAAATACAACAGTCTTTCTCTAACTTCAACCGATTCATTCCTGTAAATTTCTCACAGGCTATGAGGTTATGACAGAATAACTAATAAATAAACGAAATTAAATATGAAATGGGAGTTTTATAGGTAGGTACATAATATTAGTTAAGGTTTTAATATTTTTAAATTCTAACTACAAAAAAACGTTTTTTTTTTAACTTCAACCGATTCATTCCTGCAAATTTCTCACAGGCTCTGAGGTTTTCACACAATCATTTGTAATAAATGAACAAAATTAAATATGAAATGGAATTTTATAGGTATATACCTACATAATATTAGTTGAGATTGTAATATTTTTGAATTCTAACTATAAAAAATGTCATTATTATTTACTTACCTAAAATCGATAATTAGTCGATGGTAGCACGAACCTAACACTGTCGTAAGCCAAACACTGACTGCGAAAATCTGACGTAAGTCGCAGAAACCGACCGGGACTTACGTTATTATGGCGGTGAAAAACGTCAGCTTGCATTACATTCCTTTTACGGATATGATTTAAAAGATTCTCGACATACGTTTTCAGAAAAAGTTAAAAACAAAGGTTTAAAGTAAAATCTAGGCTTCCTACACTTTAGCAGTACCTTCTCAACAATAAAAGCCTTACGTTAATGGAAAAACATGATTTTCACCAAAAATGTCACTTACGTTACTTTGGCAAAAATGCATCGATATATATTGTTCACAGTTAATTGCCTTAACTGTTAGGAGAAAGTATCATTGAATTACTTTGGTAGAAGGCAAAGTTTTGCATAAGTACACTCTTAAAACTTGAACCCGAGCTTTCGATGGTCTATGTCATCATCGTCATGACAGTGAAAGAGAACACATAGTCGACGAACAAGAAACTGGACCGATGAGGTTCGATTAGGACGGAATTATTTTTATTTTATTAATAGATGGCAAACCTTAGCCATGTTTTTTTATTTTAACCACGGATTCATTTGGAAGGACTATTGAAAAATCCTTAAAGATTTCATCTTTCGTAATAAGCTCCACATACGCTTCTCTTTCAGCTGTGGCTACTGAGGTCAACACCGATTCTATTGCCGCCAGAGTTTCTTGATCCTTACTCTGCTTCCCATCGGTATAATTTAGGCTAAAGCTCGGATATCCCGTGTAACATGTCTTGCAGTTGTAGGTATTAGAGAAACCCTCTGGTAATCCGCAACTGTCAGGCCGTCACGACAATATATCCCTGTCTAGGCGGCTGCTGTCACTTTACCTGCATGCCGACCCTCAGTTGTTTGTCGTACGACGTGTGCACAGACGACGCGACAGCGCGGTTGCATCTAATTTATACAAAATGAAACTAGAGTGCACAGATCATAGTAGACGAGGAAATCGATGGTTTTGCAGATACGTACAAGCAGCTTAGGTTGTTGAACACTGTATCTCATCAATATCCAAGATAGAGTAGATGTAAACATTGTGATGGACCATGCACGTGATACTCTTGTCACTTGCACATGCCATTACTGGAGGCCCTTTCATAATTACGACTAAAATGCATTAGCCTGCCATTTTTATAAAAAAATAGAGGCAGTATATGTTTGCATATCAATGTCTTATCTATTCGCACAGGGTCTTTCATGATCATTTGAGAATTCGTATAGGTATGGAAAACTACTAGGATTACTTTTTGGAAACCTTTATGCAAATATTGCCTTCTTAAATCCAGCAAGACCCGTTTTTTAAATCCTTATCATCCGACCTCCTTTGTGTAACTCCAAGCACAACCACATGTGTCCAATAATTCTGAGCAGTGTGGAGTTGAAAAATCGGGAAAACTGGTGCTGCAATATGCTATCTAGAAACGTCACAATACTTATTTCATTAGGCCAACTAGGCAAAAGTGAACCCTGTTGTTGAAGGATTTGTATAGAAGGATTTAACAAAGGAACTATATACAGTGTGATTCACAAGTCGTGACCAAAAATAAAACATCATACACAAGACCGCATTTTAAGGGGGTCTTCTATGTAACATTCTTTCCTCGAGGACTTAATCAAATAGATACGGGTTGTTGAAGTTTAAAAATAAAAAACATTTTTTTTTAATATCTTCAAAACCGTCAACTGGAATGAACTAAAATTTGGTGTGTATTGTCTAAATTCAAAAGACATTCAAAAGTCTTTACTTAAGATTAACCTGCACCAGTGGCGAAGATACTGGGGATTAGTGGTATTATATCCTGAAATCCAAACATTACGCCACTGTTCTTTCTTCGAAACGCAATTTTTCGAATTTCGCCATCAATTTGCTACAAATAATTACTCTTTTTTTCTAGAATGCACTGGCCTTGATACCAACTTGACGTTTCTTGGGAGATAGTTTGTCAAAATTATGTGTTATATTTTTGTTATCGTTACTACTGCCATTTTTTATTTTTTTTTTATAAAAGCCAAGGCAAGAGTTTCTTTTTTCCATTTTTGAGCATTGTGAAATGAAATTTAGCAATGATGAGTACGGCGAATTATTTTTGTCTATGGGCTCTCGAACGGAAATGCTTTATCGGATTCTTGTGAGTATCAACGTAGATTTCCTATGAGACGCCAACCTACCCCAAAGGTTTTTCGCGGACTTAGAGGCCATTGTGTCCGGCATGCTGTTCAAGAGAAACTGGAAGTGATTAATTTGGCGTTGGATGAGCCTAGTACAAGTACTAGGCGGATTGCAGCCCAGTTACCATGTTCCCAAAGTCTTGCGTCTAGAATTTCAAATCGGCAAGTTTTACATTCCTACCATCGGCAAAATGTGCAATGTCTGCAACCCGGCGTCGAAATTTTTGTGAGTGGTTACTGCAAATGGATAATCAAAATGCAGATTTTATTTGGTTTTGTGGCACACAGCAGTTTAAAATTAAAAAAGAATAAATATATTATAGTCACCGGCATAGGGAAAGGGCATGTACACACATCAACATTGGACTATTACTTGGACAGTCGTGAGACAATTTTCATTTATCCTATTCCACTTCTTCTTTCTTTGAGTAGTCAGTCTCAATGAAAGTTTGCTAACAGTATACCTAAAAACAACATTGAAAAATGCAAAATAGTGGAGACAAGCCAAGTGACTTGTGGAATGCTGAAAAGGGCCTACCAAAACTTTAAGTTTGAGTCTTGTCTTCTTGAGCTCTTAATCTTGAAGGTTCTTAGGCAAATTTTTTAATTCCGCGACATAAATAGTAATTTTACGTCATTTTAGTACCACTAGATACTAATGAAGAAAATGAGTTTGCCACAAAAAGAGAACTATGACATAAAATAATAAAGTTACCTCCAAATCTTTTTCATATGATAAATATTGTAACAATTATATAGTAGCAGTCATTTCCATATTTCACTCAACAATGTATTTAGTTTTAGGAAAAAAATATATTCGGATCTCAACAACTATTTAGAAAATCTGGATAGAATTCAAGCAATCTGTTCCACTGTTTTCAGTAGCAGGTATTCCGTTGTTGCTGCTGTTCGATGAAGAGAAATTGTAGTATTTTTCACCTAACAAAAACACGTATTATATAGAATTATTCAATTACTGTACCGTTAATAAATATTTAATTAATATAATGTATCAGTGTTTACTAATAATAAAATAACGGAGCGATTCAAATCGCAGAATACAATATTTCTGCCCTGTACACTGTACGTGAGTGAGTATACTCAGTACGATTGGCTACTTGAATATTCTCTTCGAGAAAAAATGTATGTCGATCTGTTTTTCACTTTGGTATGCAATGATAGAAAAAGTATGCACTAAAATTACACAATTTAGGGCGGCATACAATGCAATTTAAGCATATAGGCTTAGCTTATTCTAGTATAATAACGGAAAGTTTAAAAAGGAAATTCTTGCATATGTGCAATCTTTACCAGAATCTATTCCAAATTTGTTACGTAAGTCACGAATCAGCTATCGCCAACAGAAGGCCTCAAAGGTTCCAATTTCTCACTCTAAATAGGGCTTTGCAACCTTCTTCCATTGAGGAAATTTTTAAAAACTCTTGTACCTGTGCAGTATCGGCGAAAATCCGTAAATCGGCTGTGTAGATCACGAATCAGTTTTTCATGAGGCTTCAAAACTCCCATTTCCCTATTCTAAATAGGCCTTCTGCAACACTTCAACATTTGCTTATGACCATACTTGACGTCATCGATTGCTAATTAGAACGGGAAAGGAAACTTCCAAAAATCCTTGCATAGTTGCAATCTCAACCAAAATCCATCTCTCGTGTAAATCGAGTACATAGATCACGAATCTGATATCAGTTTCTGACTGGACTTGACAAGAAATTCCAAAAGGTATTTTTTCTCAATCTAACGCTGAAGATTTAAAATTAAAACACTTAATGATTTCGTCCCGTTATGCGCGTTTCATCGAGCTTACATAATTTCCTTCAAAGTATTAACATGCTGCGTATACACGAGTCAGAAAAGCATCCTCTCTTTATTCAGTGGAAGCGAAAATGCATTTTTTACCACATACGAAATATTTTCACATCTCACTTATTATAAATAACAATGTTTACATTTTGCGAGGTGCCCAACACCCAACACGTTCCTTTCGTTCATTCGGAAATATAAACACATGCTCTCTCGCGTATCCTCGTTGTTTACAGCTCTCACACTATGTTCGTTAGGAGAACACCAGGCAGCTAATTGTTTGTGCGCCACATACTTAGCAGGAGCAAATTGTTATGCTCAGTTTATAATTAATGAGTTGAGCGGT